CTGGGCAGCATCCCCACCCTGGGGCCCTGTGTGTGCCTTAGTGGGTGGCTGTGTGTGAATTCTACATAAGAATTCCCTTCTTATGTGTTGTAGCCCCAGGGACTAAGGATTTGGGCTCCCCCCTCTCCCTGCACCACTCTGCAGTTCACTCCTGCAGACCCTTTGCAGCTCCCACCACCTTCCTTTTCCTTCTCTGCCCTTCAAGGGTAGAGGTTCCTGCTGGTGGTCACTGTCCCCGTGTCCCATCACCCCGTGGGGCTGAGAAATCCCCCTCCCCACCTGGAATACCTTCACCCCACCTCAACCAGCAGGATGGAACCCCCAGACTCCTCTGGATTTAACACATTTAGCCCCTTTCCTGGCTGCTCTGTCCCCGACCCCTGCCCAGCAGCAGTGTGGGCTTGTGCCTGTCTCAAGGCCATCCATCTTTTTCCTCCTTCCTTCCCATTTTCCCAGGGAGAACTACTTGTTTACCTGCTCGTGTCCCAAGTGCCTGGCGCAAGCCGACGACGCCGACGTGACGTCGGACGAAGACGAGGAGGGCGAGGGAGAGACGGACGATGCCGAGCTGGAGGATGAGATGACCGACGTTTGATCCTGGCAAGAGGACAGGGAAGGGAAAGGATGGGAAGGGAAGGGACTGGGGGTTCCTCCCAGAGGCAGCAGCTTTCATCCAAGGAACAGGGTTGTGTTGTGGGGTCGGGTGGGCGGCCGTGCGGAGGTGCCGGAGTGGGGCAGCCGGAGGCAGGTCCTGCTCCCGCCTGTCCGTGTTGTCCCTGCGTGTGTGTGTGAGGCTGTCCCCGCCCTCCCTGTGAGGACAAACTGTGAGCTGGTGTCCCTCTGCCACATCCTGCCTCCTGGAGGGGCTGGCTGGTGCTTGCAGAGGAAGCTGGAAGAGAGCAGGATCCAGCCAGCCCCTCCTTGTGGCCACCTGCGAGGCTGCTCCGTGTCTGTGCCGGCCGTGGATGCAGAGCTTGTCCTTCCCGCCCCGCAGGGATGAGGGAATGTGTGTGTGTGTGTGTGTGTTTGTGCACGAGGGGAACTATTTAATGTCTATATAAGCACTGTCTACGCACTACAGAGCCGGGGTCCTTATGTATCCTCCATTCCATGCCTTGGTGAGCAGTGAGGGGATTTTGCAGGGACAGGGACACCTTAGAGGGGGGCTCAGATCCTGAGTCCAGCAGGGAGAGCAGAGCTGATCCTGCAGGCACCTCCTTCCTGACTCAGCCCGTCCTTCCAACAACACAGCCCCAAGCAGTGATTCCAGGACCATCTGGGGATGGAGAATGGCCAGAGCATCCCAGCATCCCAGAGCTGACATGTGGTGTCATCCAAAACCCCAAAGACATTGGGAGTTGTCCCTCTGTCCGGCAGTGGGACGAGGATGTGCCCAAGCGGGAGCTGCTGTGTGCTTCCCCACCCCGAATTCCCACATGGAGACATCCCAGCACCGAGTGGCCCCACACAGAGATGTCCTGGCACCGAGAGGCCCCGTGTGGATGTCCCCTTGTCACCCATCCCACGCTGCCACCGATGAGGCCACACCACGTGCTGCAGTGTCCCTGTCTGTGGACAACACGGCTCCCGGCGATGGACAGGCAGCAGGCTGGGGGTGCGCTCCGGGGTTACTCCCTTCCCTCATGGATTTTGGGGAGCTGTTTTCCCACTGCTGTGTCCGTGGCAGCTGGCTTGTGGGACTGAGGGTGACACAGCCCTGACACTGCCATCACCGCCAGCCCTGACCCCGCTGCTTGTCCCCAACCGTCCCGGGGCCGTGTCCCCTTCAGTGTTCGTAATAAACCGAGACTGGTGAGAACTGGGATCCTGTGGTTTGTACTGGTAAACTGGAGCGTGGTGGGTGACCCAGGGGCTGGTCCTGTGGGGACACAGGTCTGGGGATGAGGGAATAGGCACCTGTGGGAGTGTGAGCTCTGGATTTGTGACCAGGGACACACACCTTGGGGACAAGTGCTGGAGGCTCTGCCGTGGTGCTGCTTCACCCCATGTCTGGGGTCTGGCCTGAGCACTGCCCCAGCTGCAGGAGGCACCTTGGGAATTTTACTAGGAAAAATATTAGGGAATGAGATTTATCCCTTCATCCCCTGACTGCTGAAAGAAAAAAGGAGAAACTTCCCTTTCTCTAAAACATTCAGACTTCATTAGCTCAGACAAAAATATACAGACATGGGGCGAGCCCTGCTGGTCCAGACCAAGCCTGTGTCGCTCTCCCTCCCATCCTTGCCAGTCCTGCATCCCACCAAATCAGCAGCACAAGTTCAAACGTTTCCTGGGAAGCGCTGGCCTGCTCTGGGCCATCACCTCCCTCCCACAAAGTCACAGCAAAGGGTGCTCTCCGATCCCACCTGGCACTTGGCCAGCAGGAAGATCTCCCCGTTGCCGAATCCAGTGGGATCTCTGGAAGACGTTGGGACTCCAAACCTGGTGCTTAGGGGAAACTCCTGGGATCCACTGGGAAGCCCACGATCCGCCACAGCCTCCTGCTGCTACCAGAAGGTCCAGGGGGGCTGCATCATCTCATAGGTGGGGATGCTGGTGACGTTGACAGGGATGGAGATGACGGCCCAGGGGAGCCCGTGCTGTTCCAGGGAGCGCCTGATCATGTACCTGGAAGGATAAAGAGGTGACAGGTGTGCCAGAGCCGCTGGATTTGGGAGACCTGAAGCCCAGCCTTGAGCATAAACCACGACTGGAACCATACAGCTCCAACTCAGCCATAAAGCTCCAACTGTGGATTAATCATGACCGAATCCACTCCAAATCTGTCCCGCAAAGCCCAGAAGGGACGCGCTGATCGCTGGGACCCCGTTTTGTGGGGACAAGGCATCGCTTTGCCCTTCCCATGAGCTGTCCCACCCTTGGGGAGATGTGCCAGGGCACCCACCCGTCCCTGCCCAGCAGGAAGAGCGCAGGAATGTCGGCTGTGCGCCGGGAGCTGTCCTGCACCATCTCGATGTAGAAGCTGTCATTGTCGTAGGCGTTGTCGGCGATGATCACGGCCAGCCCGCCGTGCTCCTGGATCACTCGGGTCTTGGACAGAAATGAGCAGCCCCTGGGGCACAGAGGGACAAAATTTTGGTGCCTGCAGGTAGGTGCAAAGCCTGGAAGTGCCAGGGCCTTGCCTGGAGACACCCAGCCCAGGGATTGTCTCTCCGATCCCGCGCCTCGCCCCAACCACGCTCCTCTGAGTTTCTATTTTAGGCACAAGCCACCCACACTGCTAAAGAAAAATAAAATAGAATCACAGAATCATGGAATGGTTTGGGTTGGAGGAGACTTGGAAGATTATATAGTTCAAACCCCCTGCCGTGGGCAGGGACACCTTCCACTATCTCAGGTTGCTCTGAGCCCCGTCCCACTTGGCCTTGGACACTTCCAGGGATGGGGCAGCCACAGCTTCTCTGGGCAACCTATGCCAGGG